TCCTCTGCAGAGCCTTCCTACCCTCCAGAAGATCAATACTCCTGCTCAAATTGGTGCTGTCTGCAAACTGACTGAGGGTAGACTTGATGCTTTAGTCCATCATGTTGACAGAAAGCATTTTTATGCCAAGTGAAGTAGTTTTGTAAATAGAAATCTTCAGTTGCTCTTTAACAGGCTTTTCAAAATCTGAGCATCTTGTTCTGTTTAGACATTTAACTATTATGCTTGTCATCATTTGTTTATTAAATAGAAACAAGTCAATATAAACCCTGCTATATTCAGAACTCACGCAGCACAGAGAAAATCTCCTCCACAATAAACTAGGGGCAAAGCACTTCCAAGGTAAATGAATGTAAGCATGTGCTGCAGTATGCTTACTTAATAGTGCAGCAAAACCCTACCTAGTGAATTAGCAGAGTAGTTGAAAGATTTATAAAGCAATAGAAAAAAATCAATTGTGGGTCCTCTTTCACAACCAGAGAATAATCATCTACTGAAATTGAAAGCAATGCATGCAACACACAGTAATTGTTCAATATAAGTAATTATTGTATACAACTAGATTTAATCTCTTAAATTCAGTGTTCAGCAACAGCAAGGTATATTCTAAAGCTTTGTCAGCAGGAAGATTCAGCTCCTCTCCAGGATACCAATCCTTATCCCAAACAATCCAAAAAATGTCTAAAGAAATCACAAACACTGCTCAGATATCATTGCCTACTTATTATAGGGCAGCACTGGTTAAAGCATCCCTACAATCAAGAAGTGAACTAAATAAGCTTTGCTACTCCTGTCATAAACAACAGCAAATTCTTCCAACACAAATCCAAACACAAAAGAAAGAGTCTCTCCATTATGTATGATTCTGAGGAGAAGAGAAATTATCAAAACAGCATCACTGGAACAGAATGCAAGACAGAATCTGCCTTGAAAACACACACAAAGAGAAAGCAAGAAAATCTTTCCAATTATCATCAGAGAAAGGGCAGTATTAAAAAAAATATCACAGCAGTTTTAGTTTTAGCTCGGTAAGTATGGAAAGTAGCTACCATTGCTTCCCTTTCCACCTTGTTTTGTAGTCCCTCTCAAGAGACATGGCCAAACCCATAGCCAGAGTTAGGAGCTATGCCAAACTGCTACCACTGCTTCAATGGATACTGGAAAAGCCAGTGAGACAAGGATAACTAAGGGCATGTGCAAAATCTGTAGTATCCCTAGCGTGGCTATCAGCACCAACAAGCAAAAGAAGAGGCTCAAGTTGAGCCTTGAACAGCTCAAGTTACCATTAGTAAATCAAAACAACCTTGGTTCAAATAGTTTGGATAGCAGAGACAATCTCTTGATAGTTGTAATTTCTTGTTTCCTAAATTGTCATTTTTAGAGTTTATCAGCCAATTCCAGCAAAGTCAAGTAAGTCTTAACTGACAGAGAGTTACATCAGAGGCTAGCCAAGATCTATTCACAATAGATCAGCTATTACAATGTACTATTTTCAAATTAAAATAATCTAATCTTATAGATTCAGTGTCTAATGGACCCACAGCAAGACAGGCAAAATTCCCAGACTGCTAAGCATATCCTCTTAACCAGTCTCATCCATCAGGGCTGCCAAACAACATTACTGTGGATGTCTCAAGAGAATAATTTCCATCACGTACCAAAGCACCAACTGGAAAGCCTCAACTTTTCACAGTCACTGCTACTTTTTTCCTTTAAATTCAATCTGTTGACATTCCTTTTAATAGGATGGGTAGCATCAATCCCTCCAATAATCAGAGAAGATATGTAAAAAAGTCTGATTTCCCATTCCCTGACTTATTTTTGTTACAAAGTCCCCAAGGGAAATAAATACATCAATAAAGAGTAAGGTCATTTTGGGAACATATGCAGTAAGTATTCCACAAATAATAAGAGCTAAAGGAATGATTTATAGAAGAGGAGCCTCATGATGAATTACAAGCAGATCAGAAAAGCTGCATTTGTGTTCCTGAACAATCCAATCACAACAACAAAGAGAGATGTAAGCTGTACTGGAAAACACCACTTAAAAAAGCTGTAGATTCTAAAAACTCTTATTCTTATGTTCGATTTCTCTCTCTTAAGAATTCTATTTTTTCACACACGTTCCAAAACTTTCTAGCCAGAGAATTTTTCTATTTCAGGTGTTTTTTTCCTTTAAAATAAGAAACACAGAAATGAAATTTTCCAAAGAAAACAGCTATTAAAAACCATCAGCAAAGTTCTTCTCAAATCCACAGTATCCTTTCCCATCAACATTCTTCACAAATTCAATCAGTTAAAAGCAAAAAGAGAATTATAGGTTCATACATATAAACTTATATTTGACAAACATTTCATTAGAAAAACATTTAAAAATCATCTATTACCATTCTGTCTCAGCACATCTTGCCAATGTAAGCACCTCTTCCTGAATGTCGGGGAGAGTATTCACACAGAAGAAATGTAAGAATTCAGCAACTCTTGTCTTATTTATCCCAAGTACTAAATATATGCCATTGGTAGCAATTGATTTGTGACACTTCAGCTAACTCTGTGATGTATTTAACACATAAAGGACCCCAATTTCATCATGAAGAGAGAGACTCAATGTTAGCAGGTAGCAGCTGCCAGCACTTGGATACTGTTATTAGAACTGGTTTAGGCAGTTTATATGCACAGCATTTATTTGCCTCCTGGTTCAGGCATTATTAGCTAGATCACACACTTGAATCACTCTGTGAAAGGCACTTTAAAACAGAGCTGGGGTCTAGGTTCACTTTTATCCCTGTAAACACAGAGCAGTTTAATTGACTCTTATGTTTAAGTCAAGGTGCTGAATTTAGTCTCAGGTTCCTCTAACACAATCCAGGAGGGGACAAGAGTGACACATGTGAACCAAGAGAACACTGAGCAAAGGTAAGCATTCTTTGGAAAGACAGAGTTCTGTAACCCATACAGAGACAGAAGAAATCAATCTCTCACATGAAAAAAAAATTAATATCCCCGTTTTGGTCAGTACTGTGTATCACTTCTACTCTGATTTTTTTCTTCTTTGAAGAATAAAAGGTGAAGAACGTGAAGCCCTTCCTTGGTTAGGCCTACACAGCTACCCAGAACAGAATGGGAACCATTAGTTGATACAACTAAGAGGAAACATGGTGCAGTAGTTTCTGACTGTGGTGAAATCGTGTGCAGCACACTGAAGCCAGTGAGCAGAAAGACTTTCCCCTCATCTGACCTAGTTCTGTCAAAGATTCACACATGGAGACAGTGGGTGTAGAGGTGACACATGCAGTATCTTCAAAAATTTTGGAAGGCAACACCTCACAGTGAAAGACACTTAAGACTTCGATGGTGAAAGGAAAGCTAGCTGAACTCTAGAAAATTCAGAGAAGATATCAGAAGCCTGCCCAGACCTGTAGGAGTACAATGAAGTGAACAAAACGAAATGTAAAAACAGTTATGGCAAAAAGTGCCAGATGGACAGTTGGTTTCAGGATAAAGCTACCTGATGCTGCAAGTATATTCCATTTGGAAGGAGATACAGATTTAACAAATCCTCTTGGTTTGTTTGGTTTTTTTGTTTGGTTGGTTGGTTTTTTTTTGTTTCTTAAGCAGCATGCAAACAATCTTAAAAAAAAAACCCATTATAACTGGAAAAGCCACAAAATTTTCTGGATTCTGAATTAGTGCTGTCTGCAATATAACAGGTACAGCATAAAAATGTACTGTCTGAAAAGAGTCTTCACACAAAATGAACAAAGAACAACAGAAATAAGGATCAAAGGCTCAAAGAAACATTATTTTTTCATTAAATTATTCTAAAATGCAAATGTCAATTAGCTTCTACCCACTGTATACCCAGCCACTGGCAGGTAGGTTCTGCAAAACAGTGGAACAAGCTGTCCAGAAAGGCTGTGGAGTCCATCCTTGGAGCTACACAGAGCATGACTGTGCACATGCCTGAGCAACCTGCTGGAGCTGACTGTTCTGAGTGGGGTCATGGACTGGAGGATGCCCAGAGGTCCCTCCCACTCCAGCAATTCCATTATAAGATTAGAAAGGACTTCTGTGAAGTTATTTAACAACAATGGGTTTTTTCACACAGTGGATCAGAGAGGGTGCTCTGTATAAAATCAAAAGTCTTGATAAAAACTCAACCAGAATACAACTAGGAATGAAGCCTACAAATTATTTTTACGTCACCTTGGTGAACAGAAGAGGCCCTGGGACAATATGACCCAGGAAAAGCACTGGTCATCACTAATGAACTAATTAATGGAGGAAGATGACAGTGAGGAACAACAAAATGAGATTCACAGCCTGGAAATGAAAGGCCCAAAAAACTAATCACCTACTTAAAACTAACAGAACCAAAAGTTAAAACACACATACAACCATGGCAGGTGTCTGAGGCAAATGTTAATGCAACACTGTCAACACTCATCTTTCTGATCATATCACTAATTTCCTTTACAGTTCACAGGTAAGTCACTGCGTCTATAACAGGAATGCATCAAACAGGAAATAGAAAAGCTCCCCCTACACAGAAGGGACAGCAATCTTAGGTCAAAATGCATTAGTGACCTTTCTGAGGCAAGGAAAGAAGGGAAGGGAGAAAAGGAAGGGAGAAAATGAAAGAACGGAGGGAGGGAGGGTCTTGATGAGAAATAGACATGAAAGAATTGGAAGCAATGTGATCCCCTGTGATCAGTACTCAATTACTGAAACTTAATGGGCTTTGGCTGAGGCTTACAAAATCATTCATCTAACACAAGGGTCTTGCTCAAAACGCACCATCCAAAATAACTTCAAAAAATGTGCTTTACTTAGTTAAACTAACCTCCAAAACCAGAAATTCAAAATAAGAAACCATTTCTTCCTGTGTTAGCTGCTCTTCCCAATGACACCACAGGACCATGGCAATTACTTCATGCCCTTATATAATATACATATTTCCTTTCCACCCCAAAAGAGAAGTTTTGTTTGTTACCTCTTACCGACAGTTATTTTGACAGTTCTTTTCTGAGAGTCCATCCTCATCTTCTCCCATAATATCCACTGCCGAAAATATCAGTGCAACCAGAATTGCAAAGCAGCATACCAGTGCAAAGATCACAATGCATTTTTGCTGGGACTGAAAGAGATTAAGATTAAAAAAATTTTAATGGCATGAACACATTCTCGTCAGTGACTTGAGACTCTGAAACTTTTACATAAAATCTAAATTTCTTTGAAGACATAACTGCAATAGCTGTCAACATGAAACACACCTCAAGATGTAAACACTCTCAAAACTGTCTTTCATGTATCACCTTGAGATATATTTTAAATCTCTGAGACACTGTTTAATGATTCATCTCACAAATAATATTCATAATTTAAACTGCTTTCTGTTTGTACCCCAAGGAAAGCATTATGCATTAAAATAATGACTCCTACATTAACTACGTATTTTCTGATTGTGGCTCACAGGTAAAGTACACACTTTGAAACCAAGTTTTGTTGTATTTGGTTGAAACAAAACATGTCATTGCAAGAAGACTTAAGAACAAAGTCTTTTTTTTCTACTGCTAGAAAAAGTACCTGCCATTGTCACTATGACTGTCATAGCCACTCAGACACTTTGGGAAGTCCTTGCCCCACAGTATCTATAATATAATGAACACAGATTAACAGATGATAAATGGGATTCAAGGAAACAATGGGAAACTGTTGCTCAGTACGACAGGTAATGCCTTCCACATCTCAGATTAAATATTAAAACATGGCATAGCACTACTTTATGAAATCTTGCAGTAATCAATCAGATGCACCTGGTAGTGCCCTAGATAAATGTGAAACCTCCTGAAGACAGTTGCTTGACATGTAATTTACATACCTGCATAAATGTACAGTACATTCTATTCTGAAACCAAATGTTCAAGTACTGTGCATTTTCCTACTGAAGTAAATTTAAACAAGACCACATCCATACATAAAAACGTCAATGTCTAACTCCTGTTGTGATAGTAATTTTCTTAATTTTCATTATTGCTTTATAATTACTTTGTCACATGGAGGAAAAGGCCTCATAAAGGAATGGGAAAGTGGGAAAGCATAAAAAATGTACGGGAAAGGAAACAACATCATGCTTGCAGCTGATAGCAAATTTCACAGTATTTCCACTGTTCCTGATATTTTGTTTAAGAGGCAGTAAGTTTCAGAGTAATAAGAACATTTTCCCATACACCTAAAGAAAAGGTCTAACATTTTTTTTAATTAAAAAAAATTCCAATACTTTCCAACTAGTGCACTTCTCAGGAGAAACATTCCCATGTTTCTTTCAGAATAAATCAGATATAAAAATTTTATTTCAGTCTGTGAAAATACAAAACACAGCAAACAATTTCTTCAGACAAACAGGAAAAACTCATCTGAAATTTAGTGACAAATGTAGCCTTTAACAGTAACACCAAATCTATGGTTCAGGTTATAAGCCTATTTTAAATATAATGCATATTAGACAATTTTATACATTTCCAATATATGTTTAAATCAGTATTTCTATTATATTAACTAAAAAATTACCAGAATGCATCATAAGAAAATGTTCTTCAGCCATAACAAAGCCAACCCATGAAAGAAATAAATTTGGAAAGGTTTATTGTTGTTATTCTTCCTGCTGATAGGTAGACTAATGACAACATTTGAAAAGAATTGTAAGCTACTGCACCTGGGTGTCCAGAACTAAGGCTGCACAGTGGGACTTAGGAGAAAATTATTAAACATTCTCATTGCCTCACACTACTAGCAACAAAAACTAAGAAGTGCTGAAGAAAAATAGGTATTCAGGTCTGGGACACTGCTGTATGACATTTCTTCATCAGGACACTTCAGACTGCTGTTAGGATGACCACTGTCTCATGCAGTACTGCATTGTTTTTGAAGTACTGCAAATGTATTTGCAGAAACTCTTTGATGCTGAATGTATCACCATGGCAGCAAGGCAGCAAAGCTACTCCCATAACCAGCAAACCAAAAAAGAGTCTGAGCTCATTTTCTAGTCCCTAGTAGCAGGGGATGTGACCCAGCAGGGCTCACAAACACAGGGCTCTTTTCCCTCCCAAATCAGGCTAACTGTTGCCATTCTACACACTGGGACTAATTTTAAGTTACTCTGGATAAATTTGAAGCACAAACATCCTAGCTATCACACCGTGTGAAAGACTTCATGCTATTGCTCCATGGAGTAACTCTCATCTTATTACGCTGCCATGCAAGCTGCACAACAGCTATAGAGAGTAGTGGGATCACTGGGCCAGCAGGGATTGCATCAGCCTTTGAGGCTGGGGCAGTACTCACAGAGACAGCAGGAGATATTTCACTGAAGGGTGGTGTGTTGGAAGCCACAACATGCCTCTAGAAACCTCTCAACCTGCTTAAAGTTTGAAGGCCAAATCAATATAAAATCTACAGAGTACCACAAGGAGGAGTGGGTGTGGGAGGAAAAAAGGCAGCTGCAACAGATGCTTAAATATCAGGAAATCTTATGGCAGCAATTTCTGAAAGCACTATGGAAAGGGGAAGTCAAAATAATTCTAAATGGATCCTCCTAGACTAACATTAATTTCCATTCTGCATAATTTTGGGGAACATATTCAAGGTTTCTTGATTTCTCTGCTGTAGTTGAAAATTGTATGAAGTTTAAATCCCTGTTCTTTCATGGATTCAGCTTGTCAAGCTCTGCAGTTTGTGAGTACTGTTCACTGTAGGCAGCACAAACTAGGTACCATTAGTAAGACCACTGCTATTCTACCAGCATGAAAATAAAAACAGAACCACACAAACCTATTTTACTGCTCTTATTTCACAGATCCTTTATATTATATTATATTATTATATTATTATATTATGCAGTTGTCTTTGACAAGTATAATGGATGAATTCTCTCCCTTTTTCTAAAGTTCCAGCTTAACAGTATGATTACAAATAGCATAGGGAACCTTTTAAATCAACAGTCAAAAACTCCCCTGTGACTACAGTAGTTTTTCTTTGAACAAAGGATAGCACAAAATAGCAAATAAAATGTAGCAAAAATTCCAAGTTTGTGATTCTACCACTACATTTTCAGACACAGGTCTGAAGGGTCAAGTAAAGACCATTAAAAAAAATTTTAAAAGAGTAAGGAGAATTTTAAAAGGTTTCACAGTTCATGTTGAACTTACTCCTGCTGAGTGGTGGGTTTTTCATTGCTTTTAAATCTATATATTACATTATAAGTTAATGTTTGGAGATTATTTACATTAAAATTCATATTTATACTAGAAAAGAAAGAATAAAAAACAGATACTTACATCAAAAAAGTCTTCTAAGCCTATCTTTTTACAACAGCAATAAATCTTTATTTTCACACACTTAGCCATAATGCCAACCATTTTCAAATAACCTCTTCCTAATTGCAACAGACTAGGAATAGACCATATCCATGTTCTATTATAACCATCCATGCATGCCTCTGTGTGCATCTATGTGCAAGTAATAGCAGGCATTGTGAAAGAATCCAAAATCAAGGAGCTCGCACCACTCATAGACTAGCAGGGACCTGCTAGGCTGCTCTCCAGACCCGTGTCTGTGGCCTTGGGCAGACTGCTTGTTTGATGCTGTCTTGTTGCACATCCCTCTGGCAGCTGAGGTCCCTTTGAGTTTATCAGACCCATCCTTCTGTTTCCTCCATTAAGTGCCTCAGCATTCAAGCCTTCAGTCTTCAACCCTTAATTACAGAATACAGGGATCTCTAAAACTTATGTATTCCATCTGTCCATATACCTAGTTAATTTGCAGAAATATTAATCCCAACAGATATTTGTTTAGCCTGTCCTCAAAAATCTAGAGTTGAAAGAGATCCTGTAGTCTTTTCAGGCAACCCCATCCCATATCTAAGCACCTGACTGATGCTTAACTTAAGTCTCTTATGCTGCAACAATTCTTTTTTCCTTGCTGTACTAATGGAAAACTGTGAACATAGAATTTCATTCTCTCTTTTACATATTTAAAGGCTGCTATAGGTGCTAAGAGGCTTGGGGCCAGACCCTCTACAAGTCTGACTGTACTGATGGGCAAGCCCAGAGATTCTGTCGCATGAGAGAAAGATTTGTTCAGGGCTTAAGGAAGATTGGGAAAGAAACTCCTGCAGGAACAAAGACTATCAAAAATACTGTGAGTAAAATGCGTTTTTTTCACCTGGCTCAACTAGCTTAAACAATACCTAAGTTAAAACAAATCCACCAAAACACTGCATTACTAAAATAAAGCATGGGAATTTTTTCATGCTGTTATACCTCTAGGGAGAGAGTGAGAAGAAAAGCCAAGAGCTGCACAATGGTTATCCAGTACAGTACTATTCAGACTAAAGTTTAATCTGGGAAGGACTTGCTTGTTAATTATTAAGAAAAAGGATAGCCTATGTCAATTAAGCTTATCAGAGCCTGTGATACCCACGCAGAATTGAGAATAAGAGCAAGAAAAAGGCCTCCATCTTTACTGCACTCACATTGCTCAAAGCCTGCTAAGATCACTTCACTGGCTCCTGAAGCTTTCAGTTTTTTCTCAAATAACAGTCATTTCTTTGAGACTGAGATTTTAATCAGGAATTTATTCTTCCTCCAATGCAGTACAAGAATGTCTTCTCCCAAAAAAGGAGCCATGAAATTGCAATGCTGCATCTGCTGATAAAACTGACTGCATAACAAAACATGTCAGGCTTTGAACTTGTGCTTCATTTTTTTATAACCATTTACAGACTGAATAAGGCAATACTTATATACCACACTAATACAGGCTCTAAGAGGCAGGCTTTCACATCTTTGGTCATTTGATTAGTCTGCTCTTTCCTGCAACACATCTGAACACAAATGTGACAACAAAAGCACTCCCCTGCAACACATCTGTAACTGCTCAACAGCCCTCAAAGAGCTGTTTATGAATCAGGTTCCATGGGGCGCTGCAATACACCTGCCAAAGATAGCAAGAAACTGGACTTCGAGAATTAGCAATCATTCCAGATTACCCTTGGTCATCTGTGTTTATTAGAGAAAAATATTACTATAATCTGGAATCTGCATACAGTAATAATCTTCATTGCAGCCTTGAATCTCC